GATTCCCATAAAATACTGGATAATGGATTAGCAGGAAAGTCCTCTGTCATGCTCCATGTCTATAGCGTGGCAGGAGCAGCACCGCCCCCAGCTTTGCCTAAGAGAGGCAGAGCAGCCTTTACTTGGCACAGGGACGTGAGTGCCAGGCTGCGTGGAGCAGGAACAGACCCTTGTCCACAGCAGTGAGCCTGTGAAGAGGCCTGGGAGGCTGGGCCCATGGGTGCAGTGGCCAGAGCTCAGTTGTGCAAGGAGGTTGAGTTGTGTGGGACTGGCTGCCACCAACTTCAAAGTGGAAGTGTGTGATGTGGGCACAGGGGGGGCACAGAAAACTTTTCATCCAAGATGCCAGGGACAATGTCCCCCTGTGTATTGCTGCCTAACAAATACCTTCTGGGCAGTACAGCCTAAAGTCATTTTGTCTTCTTTGTGCTGTCTCAGTTCTGTGAGTCAGGATGTCAGCTGAGGCCCAGCAGAGAGAGCTATTCCCCATGTCCCACTCTTTGTGGGATGACACAGGATGCAGAGGTAGGGGAGCTCAGGACTGGGCATGCGGGGCTTGTCCCACCTCGTGGCCTCTCCAGGGAGCCACTCTGCTGCCTCCTGCAAGTACCCAAGGCGGCCAGCCCAGACCTGATGAGGGGACGGGAGGAGCAGTGGGACTTCTGCCAACCCTCCCTGCGGCTGTATGTTGAAGCCATAAGGGAGGCACAGAGCTGGGAGGCTGGGGGAGGGGAAAACAAACACCACTGCAACAAGGGTTGGCTATGTATGTCAGCTAGCATCCCAGGAGCCAGGAGCCCAGTGGTGTCAGGAGGAGGTAGACCTGCCTCTCTCTGCTGGGACCTGCTCAGGGAGACCCTTTTAAATTTTTTTTGAAACAGGATCTCATTGTATAGCCCAGGCTGGCTTTAGACTCTTGCCAGTCCTCCTGCCTCAACCTCTCCAGTGCTGGGATTACAGGTTTGCACTGCCCCACCTGACCCAGCCAGGTTTTTGCATCAGGAGCTGAAGAGGGGCTTCTGTGGGGGGTGGCTGCCCTCTGCTGGCCATAAAGACAAATGACATGCATGTGGCCTGGGCTGGCCAGCAAGGGAGCTGGAGAATGCCCAGAAAATGGAAAGGGAGGCAAGGGTGTGCCTAGTCCAGCAAAACCAATGCCCAGGCTCAGCCACCCCAGCCTCTGTTAGGAAGCCATCTGTGGCCCTGGCTTTGCCAGCCTGTGCTGCCCCTTGGCCTCTGCCTCTCGGGGTTCCTCCCACTCTTCACCTCTGACCCTGAAGATGACGTCCTTCCCAAGCCCCAACCACACTTTTCAGCCTGTCTTCTCACTTGCTGTGAGACTCCTGTGTCTGCCATCCCATGATATCTCAGGTCCCAAATCTCCTGTCCCCCTCTGTGCCCACTGCCTCTACCTGACACAGCCCTGTTGTGCCTCCCCTGGCACATAGCTCTTGGCCTTTGTCCCCATGCCATCCTGGTACTGGGCAGCCAGACAGGGCTTCTCACATCCCCTGCAGCCCTCCCTCCCCTCCCACTGCCTTCCAGCATCTCACTCACTTTGTCCCTGTCACCTGCTCTCTCCCCTTCTGCCTAGAAGCCCTCACACCACCCCAAGACAGAACCCATTCACCCAAGAGTCAGCGTCAGTTGCCACCACCTTCAGGAAACCTTCAAGCACCTCCAGGCTGGGAAAGAACCTCCTCTAAGCCCTCTCTGCAAGGACACTCCTGCCACCACCTTGGTGTGGAGGCAAGAGCACCATGGGCAGGGACATCAGGGCTTTGGTCCAGATGCAGTGGCCCTCAGCATATCCTGACTGGCCAGGTGTTCACTGCGCTGCTCTACCATAGGCTTTATAAGGAAGGCTTGGGGATCTTGAACACACCCCTTCCAGCTTCAGTGTCTCCATTAGTACAAGGAGGGCCTGAGCATCCTTCTGATCCCTGTGGTTGGTAGTGGCTGTGGGTATAGTTGAATGTTCACTTGGGTAAGGGGGCTCAGAGCTAACTTAGGGGCCTCTTATCCTGGGAGAAAGGAGCCAAGTGGCACCCTCCACCTCTTCTGGGACAGCCCTGCCCTTCTCTTTCATGGGAACAGCCTTACCCTATAATGTGGGCACCACCACCTAATTACCTCTGTGCCCAATGCCCAGGGCTCTCTGAAGAATGGTTAAAGAATTCAAATGGGGGCAGGGAAGGGAGGTAGGGGCCAGGCACCCAGAACCAGGTCCCAGCCTGTCCTCGTGCTCCCCTGCCCACAGCAACCCAGAGCTGTGGCTTCCCACCACTTGGATGAGGCTCAGGGGACAGCTGCCACCCTCCTAAGCCAGAGAGGGGGTGTTGCTGTGGCCAAGGTCACCAGGGCTTAGTGACAGCTTGGGGGCCCCAGAGTATCTCATCTGGGCAGGCTGTGAGGATCAAGACCCTGGCACTGGTGGTGTCAGCGGATGACGCTGGGTGCTCAGCGTCAGGTAGAGTGGCACTGAAGTCAGTGCTCACAGAGAATGAGGCAGCCCCAGCAGAAGGGCACAGGTGGGGGGAGCAGGGCCACAGGCGAAATCTGGGGCATGGTGTCCGCATGCTCTCAAGGCTGTGACGCACAGTGTGGCCCTGAGACAGCCCAGCTCCAGCTGTGGGGAGAGGTCAGGGCTGTTGCCTACAGGCTGTGGTCTCCCAAGGTCTCTACTCCACCAGGCGAGTGGGGCCAACTGAGGAGGAAGGACAGACCCCTGATTCCCAGGTACTTGGAGCGCTGACAGGGACAGAGACTAAGGGGGGCAGGCCAGGGCCAAGGTGGGACAGTGGCAGTAGACAGGGCTGTGGAGGTATAGAGACCCAGGCAAAGATACCCACCTCGTCAGGAGCCCAGATGTCCCTGAGTCACTTTCATCCTTGCTCTGCGTCTCCACTCTCATCCCTGTCAAGGGATGTAATGACGGAGCACAACCCCAAGGTTGAAGGGGTTTGGGAACAGCGTGGTCTTAGAGTCCCTGAATGAGTCAGACCCATGGGCAGCACAGCTGGCAACCCCTTCCCAGCTGACTCCTTGGGACATCCATGTCCACATTGGCTATTGGCGGATCTTCCTTTCTCTGCTCTCTTCATTGCCCGGTAGACTGTGGCTGTCCTTGGGTCCTGACAGTTAATTCCAGGCCATTCTTTGTGACTGTTGAGCAAACACCAACCGTGCCCTGACATAAAAGATAACAAGCTGTGCTGCAGTGAACACTCTTGAACACGACTTCTTGACCAAGCGTGTGTGCGCATGTGTAGAGAAGACTAGAAGGCAAGAAACCCTTGTGGCTGCTGCTGCCATTGGCCCAGGCTGACACTCAGGGGCTGGCAGGAAAGGAAAGGAAGAGACAAATTTCCTTTGTCACAATATCATGGACTTCTCCAGGGAGCCTGTGGAGCCTCCCAACTCTGTAAATCAAGACCCACACCACAGCAGAGCAGGGAGCAAGGAGTTCAAGGAGCGCAGAGGAGAGAAAATGGAAGGGATGAGAACAGCACCTCTGAATTAGCCCTGCCTAGGCAGTGGCTTCACCTGCCGCTTCTAAGCCTCAAAGAGACCCCAGGACTGTGAGGCGCTCCAAGTCCCAAATCCGCACAGCCTATCCCAGCCACTGTCTTTTGTGCGGTCCCTGAGCTGAGCGTCCCTAGCCAATGCACTGTCTGGGGACGCCAGATGGGAAGATTGGGAGAAGCCAAGACCTGGACCTTGGCCGGGGCAGGAATGGGTGAGATAGACCCAACATTGGCACCACCAGCTAGAGGGAGTCCAGCCTGAGCCATCGACAGTGACAGGTGACAAGTGGTGGCTGCTGGGCTCCTGCTGTCTCGGGCTCCTCCCCTAGAAGCCCTGTGGCCTGCCACGCAACAGGTGGGAGGCAGTGGCAGATATCCAGGTCACCTCCCCAGGCAGTATGAAGCCCAAGTGGGGGGTTGGGGACAGAGCTCTGCTCCCTAGGGTAGTCCCTACTCCACTTCATCAGAAAGTTCGTAGGTCATTGAGCTCCCCAAGCAAGCCTGTCCCTGCTCATACCATTTCCCGCCTAGTCCTGCCACCTCCTCTACCTGAACGTTTCTGGCTTTTGTAGCCTCTTTGGTCACCACTTGGCATACTTTGAGGTCTCTTTGTGTGGGTGGACATCAGGGTAGGATTGCACAGCAGGTAAGAACACGTGAGCACAAACAGGCCTGGGTTTTAGGCCCAGCTCTGCCACCTACTGCTTTGGTCACTGAGCAGGTTACTCACCTCTCTGGGCCTTTCTCTCAAGTTTCTTCATCTGTCAAGGTGGGGTGATGGGAGCACCTACCCCCATAGCTTCACTGTGAGGACTTAATGAGGGGAGGTTCATAAAACAATCAGAAGGAAGCCTGGACCATAGTCAATGCTCAGGAACGCTGGTATTGCTGTTACTAACCTAACGACTGACTGCTTCTTGCTTCTTGGCTCCAGACCAGCAATCTACATCTGACCTTGACCCTGAGTCTCCCTGAATCCTTTATGACCTTCCTGACTGCTGGGCTGGCACGAGGGTCAGCTTCTCAGTGCAACTAATGGGATTTCTAAGAGTTTTTTTCTCTGGGCTCAGTGACTGTGGAAAGAGAGGGATTGGAAGAGGAGAAAGCAAGAGGGAAATGGCTGGAAATGGCCATGACTTAGCAAGATTTGGTGACCCCGATCCTTTCAGTTCACTAACCCAGAGCGTTGGCCCTGTGGTCTGTGCCCTTGTTTTCCCCCTAAGCTACCATCACTGGAATCCTTATGGCCACAAAGAGAGAACAATTTATGTAGTTGCCCTAACACACCTGAGAGGATGGGGCTCAAGTGGTCCATCCAGGGAGTTACTGGGACCTGGGGACACCACTTTGAGGCTCCTGCTGCTGCTGCTGCTTAGCCTGGAGAGTGGTCCACTACCTCCCAAACATGAGGGCAGATGTAGGACAGGGGCTCTCAAAGGGTCAGGGGCTCAGCTCTGGCTCTGGGCCCCCCAGGAAATGAACAACTACCGGCGGGCCATGCAGAGGATGGCAGAGGACATCCTGTTGCTACGGAAACAGGCCAGCCTCTTGGAGGTGGAGAACCAGGCGCTCAGGCATCGCCTGGTCCAGCAGGAGGTGGACGAGAGCAAGGCTGATGAGTCCCGGGACCTGGGTGAGAAAGCTCTGGCCATTATACGAATCTAGATGCCTTCTGGGGCCCTGAGTCTGTGTTGGAGACAGGGTGGTGGGTGGGGAGATTCCCCAGATGTTTATGCAGCTGGATTCAGGCCGATGGGAGTCCTCATACACCTCACCCACCCAACCACTTACAGAGAGTCACATGGTCCCTGCCCAGCTGTGTCCTCACAGATAGAAAAAGGAGTGTCCAGCCCAGGGCTGGGGGGCACCTGATCCCTCTTCCCCTGATGAGGGGAGCTACAGAGACCCCAATGAGCCAACTCCCTGCCCACCCTAGCAATGTCCATGAGGCAGAAGCTGCTGCTAAATGAGCTGGATGCGAAGAAACTGAGGGACAAGGTACAGCACCTGCAGAATGAGCTGATTCGGGTGAGCAAGGATTTGAGGAAGGGGTGGGCAGGGTTGGGAGAATCGGGGCCAGGGGGTTGGCAGTAGATTCTAGGGGGCCTGGGTTCCCTCAGGCACCCATTCTTCTCCACCCACCACTCCATTCCACTCCTCTCTGCTCCTTGCAGAAGAATGACCGAGAAAAGGAGCTGCTGGTACAGTGTCAGGCACAGCAGCCAAAGGCTGCCCTGTTGAGGAGGTACCAGGGCAAGCTACAGAAGATGAAGGCACTGGAGGATACCGTGCAGCACCAGGAGAAGGCAGGTGCCTGGTTCACCTAGGGTGGAGAATGCACACGGGAAGGTGTGGTGGCCCCTGCCCAGCCCAGCCTTGTGCTCCACTCAAAGGTGATAGAGAAGATGGAGAGGGTGCTGGAGGACCGGCTGCGGCAGGAGAGGAAGGAGCACAAGCCCTCCGGCAGGCCGCTGGGAAAGCCACATGTAGGTGGGTCCACTCTCCACTCTGGACAGACAGGGATCTGCTGCCCAGATCCTGCCCAGCTCTTGAGGGAGGCCTAGTCCTCTGGAGCCCCAGCTGCAGGAGAACCTACTCAGTCACATCTGTGGGCCAGGACACAGGTCGGTGCTGTTCCCTTACCCCAGAGCCCTAAGCTTCCTCCTCCCTGGGCAGCCCTAGGGAGACACTAGTGTGAGGCTGGAAAGAGGCCAACTGTCCAGGGAGAGGCCTGCAGGCTGGGAGCACAGCAGGGACACAGGCCCACAGAGAGAGGCTTCCCTAGCAGAGAGCCACCTTGGGTAGCAGTCTTGACTCTTTAACCAGATCCTTTGAATGATTCCACTATCTTCCCAAATCTTCAAAGGTTTCATTTGCAAAGTAAACCAACCAATATGGCCCCCTTTCAGGTGAACCATAGCCCCTGGAACTGCCAGCCAGAGGCAGTTTAGATAGGCAGGAAAGAGTGGGAACAAATTCCAAAGCAAGGAGCAAAATGACCAGGGCAGGGACGTGGAGGCAGGGTCAGCTCACAAACATCTGTGGCCATGTTCACAGCCTTCTCCATGCCCTCAGCCTCTGGCCTCCACCTGGGCTCCATAGGAGAGACCTTGCCTGTCGACCTTTACTCAATGTTACTGGCAGAAAACTCAAGGCTGCGGGCCGAGCTGGAAAAGAACCACCACCAATCAGCACCAATCATCCTGCAGCAGCAGGCCCTGCCGGTAAGAGCCACCACCATGGCTTGGCCTGGACCCATCTGCACTGGTCACCAGGTGCCCCAAATCACCCACAGCGCAATCCAAGTTGAAGATCCAGGCCTGTAGCTGGGCTTCCCAGATTCACTGATACACCTAGAACTCCTGGGAATGCATGCATTGGAACCTCACTTTGGCTCAGGCTAATCATCCTAGGAGAAAGCGAGCCCCTAGCTGACCCTTGAGCTCTGGCTCCCAGCTGAACCCACACAGGCCTCATGGAGTTCTTCCAGATAATTTCCCAGGATTGGTGCAGGCCTGGAGAGCCCTTTTCCCCATCCCAGGTGGACCCCAGGGAGTTGGGAGCAGGTGGAGACTTGGCAGAGAGGATGCGAAAGACAGATGGCCCAGGCCACTACAAGTACACAGAGACCCTACCCGCACAGGTGGGTGTCCCTCCTCTATCCAGGCTGCTCCAGGTTCCCAGTGCTGGACACAACCAATGATAGGCTGCTTGGAATCACAGCAGGTGGGGTGGGGTGCATGGGACACGGCTTGTAGGAGGTGGGCTCCCCTTGAAAGCCCTTGATGGTGGACATCGAGGGAAAACGAGGTGGGGCCCTGGCTTCCATTCTCTTCATTCTGCACAAAGACTCCCCACCCCACTCCCTCTTGGACATTATAGGGAGCTCTTTGCTGCCTTTTATATTAGAACAGGGTGGTGCCCCAACTCTGCAGAGGAAACAAATGTGAAGAAAACTCAGAACACTGGAAGGAGGTGCTGCTTCCAGGAGCTGGTTGGACTCAGACCCACTGGTCGCTCCTCCTCCACATCCTTGGGGCAGCCTGAATTCCTGGGGTCCCTTCCCCAGATGGAGCCAAATACAAGCTCTATTCTGCCCACAGGATCTCCTTGCCAGTACCACAGACAAGTTTAACCTCATGGCCAAGTTGGAGCAGGCTCAGAGCCGGATCTTGTCCCTGGAAAGTCAGGTGGGTAAGGCTCACTGCTCTGTCTAGGACAAAAGTCAGGGTTCAGCATGTAACTAGCTTTTTTTTTTTTTTTTTTTTTTGTATTTAGGACAGGGTGTACAGGGTCTCACTATGTAGATAGGACTAGTAGTGATCCTCCTGTTTACAGCCTCCCAAGTGCTGGGATTACAGCTGCATGCCACCACACCCAGTCTCAATCGCATCTCAGTGCACCCCAGGGGAGGGGCCAGCATGGAAGGCCTGGGGATCGAACTCTCAGCCCCTGTGTCTGCCTAAGCAGGCACTTTAATCCGCTGAGCTATTTGACCAACCCTCAGCATGGAATTAAGACCAGGATTCAGTGTGACCAGGGTCAGGTCTTGGTGTGCAATAAGACCTGGGCTCAGTGTGTGACCTGGTTAGACTCAGTCTGTGACCAGACTATTATCAGGGTTCAGAGAAGGTCCTCCACGTCTGTCTGGCAGTTTATCTCTCTCTGTCACCCTCACCCACCCTTGAGGTCCCTGGGAAGGGTATCAGGACCAGGCTGCCAGGAGCTCTGCTCTCTGCCCAGCAAGCAGGCCCAGATCCTGATGGGCCCCAGCGGCCTCTGGGTCTTGTACTGCTCCTGTCCATGTCTGCAGTTGGAGGACTCAGCCCGACGATGGGGCCGAGAGAAGCAAAACTTGGCCACACGGCTGCAGGAACAAGAACATGGCTTTGGGCGAAACTCAAACCTCTTCATCACAGATCAGTCTGTGAGTGACCCCATTCCTGGAACGCAGGTGGTAGGACTGGGACCCCATTCCTAAGTCATTGGGCTTGAGAAAAAGTTGAAGGGCCGACCCATGGCTAGGATCGGAAGTCCTGAGCTCAGTCCCTGCTCTGCTACCAACTGAAGCTGTCACTTGGTCTCATTTTACCTATCCATCTGGGAGAACAGGAGCTCCTTCCTCCACAGGTGGTTGTGCAAGTCTGGGAAGAGATAACTATGGATGAGGGGGTGTGCAAACAGGCACATCTGGAATGTTTTATCTGTCACTGCCTATATTCTAGGACTGGCTGTGTAGCCTCCATTTGCTAAATGCATTGTGCCTAAACATCTCACTTACGGTCTGCCCTTTTGCCCCCACACAGCTGAGGTAGACGCCATCTTGGCAGTTTCCCAGGAGCAAACAGGCTGATGTACCTCACCCTGTCCCAAAGGCCCTGACTTCTGCCCTTGGCCCTCAGTATTTTGCTTATGGCTGAGTCTCCACACACCTAGAAAGGGCCTTACAAGGACACACAGACTGACAAGCACACAGAGACCATCTGCAAGCCCTTCTGGGCCCACAGTCTCTTGGAGAGATTACGCGTCATCTGCTGTGTTCAGATGGGTTGAGGAATCTTCCATAAGTTATGCGCGGTGGATCCCAGAGGTGTGGCCAGCTGGGCAAGATGCCCTTGAAGAGGTCACTCCAGGGAATGGAAATACACACACATGTCCACCTTGCCTCCCACAGAATGCCTCGACCCATGCCAACGACCTCAAAAGGCCTTCAAAGCAGGAAGTCTCACTGCCCAACTCTAACCCCAAGGCCAGCCAGCCTGCAGAAACCCAGGCAGAGACCTCCAGCTCCCAGCAGACCTGAGCCCTGTGCAGGCCTCCTCTTTCCCTGTGCACTGGACAGTCTCACCCTGGCCCCTAAAGATGACTTTATTAAATACTGAAGCTCAACAAGCATTCTCTTTCTGGAGGCAAAATGACCCAGGCCCTGCTGCCTCCTTCCATTCCCCACTTGGTCTTCAGCCCTTGGCCACAGTCTTACTGCCTTTTGCAGTCCCAAGAGCTAAAGTCAAGGCTATAATGGACCAGGAGGCTGATGAGAAGAAGGACCAGGGAGACAAACCCCTTCCCAACCTCCAGGAGAACTGAAGCCACCCTTTTAGGAGATGGGAGGGAGGCCAGGACTCCCACCTGCCCCCAACATTTGTCACACCTGAAATCCTTTCTCCTGAGTGATTTTTCTGTCTCTTGGGAAAAGAAAGGGTTGAAGGCTTCCCGGGCATCATGGTGTGAAATACCCCATTCCCAGGGCTGTGTCCAAATGTGGCTATGGACAGGAAAGCAGACAGAGGCCAGGAGGAGGAGCCCTCACAAAGACAACAGGCTGAGGCCCTGACCGAAGCATGCAGTGTGACCTCAGATAACTCTGGGTCTCTCTGAACCAGTTTCTTCATCTATCCCACACAGAGCTGGGTGTCTTTCTCTTTTCAGCGCTGACATTTCTGAGCCAAAGATGACTCAGATCCAAAGAAGAGAAAGGAAGCAAGAAAGAGAGAAAAAGACAAGAGGGGGGAGGAGTGTGTGGTGGGGAAAAGTAAACAGGCTGTGGGAGACCACCAGACCTTGCAGAACTGTGGTAGAAGAGGCCAAGCTGGTTGGCCTACCAGTACCAGTCTGGACAAGTCACCTGCTACCTACAGCACTTAGACCTGGAGGCCCAAGGGCCAGCAAGGGGCTGGCATCTGCTCTGGGCTATAGTTGAGAAAATCAGAGGGATTTAAGGGCACTGGACAGGGACAGAGTCCAAATAGTGCACCAGAAACTGCTCTGGGCTCCTGTCTACTGTCCAGGACACACCACAGTTTTGTCTCCTGGGAGCCAGGCAAGGAAGCATGGGGAAACCCGGGGCAGGGGCAGGAGGTGGAGGAAGCCATGCCAGTCCCTGTCCTGGGATTCTTCCAGTCCCACAGAGGACTACCATCTGGGTTCAACAAAGCAGTGCCCTGTTGAGGCAGGTCTAGCCCAAGGTAACCTGTCCTCAAAGGGACCCACCAGCTCCTGTCGTGATACCTGCTTTACACAGGGCAACCAGCCCTCCCCTTGCAGCCTCCCTCAGCCCCAGCAGCCTGAGCTGCTGTGGGTGGGCATCCTATCAGGCTTGCTTTTGCATGTCCCAATCTGCATGAGGGTGACAAGCACCATAGGGTCCATTGGAAAGAAAAACATTCCCATAGTTCAACCATTTATTTTCTTTTCAGGACGGGAGATAGGGAAAAGTGGGCTGGAGGGGAGGGCAGGTCAGGGCTCTGCTGAGCTGGGGCAGGTGAATACTGAGGTGAACCACCTGCCCTGAAGGAGTGGGGACACAGGATTAGAGATGTGAGGCCTGGTGGCACCCACTCGGCCATCTGCCCACATGACTGTGGCCTGGTTATAGGGGTCAGAGCCACCCTTTGTAATCACACCTGGGCCGTGTCCTTTTTCAAGGGGAGGAAGGTCAAGTAGATGGGCTGCTCAGGCGTGAGAATGAGGTTGAACTTGGTACCCACATCAGTGAACTGTTTCAGTTGAACCCTAAAGTTCTCCAGCACCTGTGGAAGAGGGTAGGCTCAGGGAGGGTGTGGAGGACAATCCCCCCAGGCTGGGCTCACCTACTTCCTGTCCACCTCCTCAGGGAGCCCAACGGCTGCAGCCCCAGCTCCTCATTTAAATCACAAGTGTCCTCCTGTTCCCTGGGTGTAGGCCTTGGCCTTAATTAGGCTATAACACCCCTCCACCCCAACCCATTTCATGATAGCCCTGGAGACACCATGGGTGACACATGGGGCAGCCCAGGAGAGGAATAGCTGGGAACTGAGGCTACATGTGCTCCAGCCCTGCACCCTTTGGGCTCTGGACAGAGATGGAAAGAGGCAGGTTGGTGACTTCACCAGGACCAGGGTATCTAGTGTGCTCTGGTGTCCCCAAACCCCACTCACATAGATGAGGAAGATAGTCATTTCCAGCTCTGCGATCCGCCGGCCCAGACACTGCCGCACACCCCAACCAAAGCCCAGATACCGGAAGTGAGTGGTATTCTTGTCCTTGTCCAGCCACCGGGATGGGTTGAAAATGATGGGGTTGGAGAAATAGCTGGGTTCCCGGCCCATAGCATAGTTGGCCACCTGCACCAGTGTCTGAGGACAAGGTGGCAAGAGGCCTCAGCAGGACACTGAGCTTTGCCAGGCTTCTGTGCTCCTACTCCCAGCCCTGCTCCCCAGCTGGCTGCCCAGGTGCCCAGGTCAGAACATCAACATTCTGCCCACTGTGTGACCTTGAGCCAGGTCCTGTGCCTCCCTGAGCCTCTCTTCCAGGAAAGGAGGGAGGCTGAAAACACAAGGCTGGGATACCAAGGAGTCCTCTTACCCCTTGTGAGTCCCGTGTGGGTCTGGGCAGATGGTGAGATCCACTTCCAAACTGTGAACATCAGCAACTTGGCTATGCCATTACTCACTGTCCCCACCCCCACCCCTGCCTTTCTTCTTTCAAACTCACACTACTGCCACTAAGAGCCAGCTCCCCAGGGCCCAAAAGAAAGCAGGACAGAGCCCATAGCCACCATCTGGCATAACTGCAGCCTTCTTCGTCTGCCCTCTGCTGCCTCTGTCTGACTGGCAGAACCCAGAGCTTCAGCTGCTCCTACCTTGGCTGGAATCAAATAATCACGGAGAACCAAGTCACACGAAAGATATCTCTGCAGAGTTACGGAGATGGGGTGCAGCCTGGGGGAAAAAGACTTTCAGAAACGGATGGCCCTGAGGCTGGGACCCAGGCTGTTCTATCCTGTCCTGCCCCTGGCACGGCCCAGCCACAGCCCCCAGGGCACCTGAGGAGGCCCAGGCTCTTTCCTCCTCCACTTCCTAGCTGTCTCTTCAGACCATCTGATTCCTGACAGCCCCTCCTTGGGCCCCTCCCTCAGCCCCAACCAGCGTGGGGAATGGGCAGGGAGGCTGGCTGTGGGGCTCACCTCAGGGTCTCCTTAATGCTGGCCTTCAGAAGTGGCACCAGCTGCAGCATCTTGGTCATGTCCCCCTGGGCCTGGCCCCGGGCATCCTGTACCTCAGCCCGAAGCCTGGACTGCACGTTGAGGTTACATGCCATCTCATACAAGTGCCACTGCAGGGTCATGGATGTCTGGCAGGGAGAGAGGGGCATAGAGCCCAGCAGGGCCTGTCTCTTGGGTACTTGAGGCCCCTGGTGGACGCTCCCCTCCAAGAACCTCCCCCTCCCTGACTTTCACCTCCATTTGCAAGCTATCAAGTGCAGAAGCAAAGCAGAATACGAAAAGCGAACATCCTGTAGGAGGTGATCTCACTGTCTCTGTCCCTGTCCCCAGCCCTTGTGTCTCCAGCACCCATCCATCTCCCAGGTATAGCACATTAGCATCCAGCAGTGCCTCGACCTTCTAGAGGACTCCTGGTGCCTTTAAAAGCCACTCCCACCTCCAGGAGAGTCATCTGTCCCACAGCTGCCCTTTCTCCTGAACTCTTCCAAAGAACCACCAACTCCCAGCCAGACCACAGAGCTTAGAGAGGGGTTCATAGGTCCCAAAGCCAGAAGGCAGATGGGACTGCTGTCTGGATTGTGGATAGTGTGTGGGAGTTCCAGAGATAGAGTGGCTAAGGTCAACATAGCTCAGGGATTATGACCAGTAGCCCTCAATCCCCACACTCCCACATTCCTCCCCCCACACTCCCAGATTCCTCTGTGGTGACAGGAGGCCTCACCTGAGGCCCCACCTGGGAGCGCCTCCCTCCTGCGGCTGGGGCCCAAATGGTCAGCACACTGGCTTCCCAGGAGGCTTGGACACCTTTCCATCCTCCCAAGAGTAGCAGCAATGAAAAACAGCCATACAATTTCTGTTCTCTTTCTCAATAAAATTATGGGAAAAAAAAAAACTTAAAAAAAAACAATTTCTGTTCTCAGCTGTGAAAGCTTGCCTGGCTCCCAGCGCCTCCAGATGCCATAGGGAGGCCCCACCAACGCCCAGTACCTGCCAATGGCTTTTAGTGCTCCCCCAGAGCACACACCTGCTATCTGGCCACACAGGGCTGCATACAGCCCTGGAGGCTCAGAAATTTCCCCCGCCCTAGCTCCCTTTCCTGGAATTCCCTCCCCACACAGGAAACCAGCACACACTTCTTCAAAACACTGACTGGAAGTGTGTGTCTATCTCAGGACCTCCCCGGCCTGCTGCTGGGTAGGTGCTAGGAAGGGACCCATTTAATAAGGTAGTCAACTAAGTTACTAGCCGTGCGTGCAGCTTTGGCCAAGTTATTTAATCTGTCTGTGGCCTGATTTCCTCATCTAAAAGAAAAGAGGATGACAGTGACATATTTCACCGTGTCCTCGGCAAGCAGTAAATGTATTAAGTGAAAAGCAACTTCAAGGCCAGACTGAACTACGCAGTGAGAGCCTGTCTCAAAGAAAAAAAAAGGGGGGGGGGCTGGGGAGATAGTTCCATGGCTAGGTGCCTTCCTGGCAAGCGCAAGGTCCCAAGTTTGATCCCCAGTACCCCATGCCACGCCAGCCCTGGAACCTCAGGCACACTGTGTCAGGTGTAGTGGCACGTGCCTATAATCCTAGCACTGGGGAGGCTGAGACAGGAGGATCACTATAAGTCTGAGCTGCATAGCAAGATCCTGTATGCAATAAATAAACAACTTTAAAAAAAAAAAAAAAAACTGACTCCACAGGGAAACTGGGCCTCACCGCCTAGCCCCAAAGCCCTGCTTGTTTTTGAGTCTCTGCTTCTTTCTGGAATCTTCATGTCATATAAAACACATACAGGAAAAAAAACAAAACAAAACACATATAGGCAGTCTTGATTTACGACGTTTTAACTTAAGGATTTTTCCACTGTATACTAGTGCAGAAGCAATATCCAGGAGAGAGATAACTTCTGAATGTCGCACTTTTACCTTTCTTGGACTAGGTCAGAGTCACCCTTCTTGCCATGCTGAGCAGCTGGGCAACCAAGAGGGCACAGTGCCAGCCCTCCATAGTATAAGTGGTCTAGAATCAGAGTTCCAATGACGTGGGCCATGACCCTATGTGGCTACACAAAGCCTACCACAGTCACTAAAAAATCTGGCTGAAGAGCTGCCATTGTTGCCCAGTGGCTGCCCTTTGACCTCTCCCTCCTGGATCAGTGTCCAGGGAAAGAAAGCAGAGCCCACCTGGGCATGACTTCCTTAAACATCAGGGCCCAGACAGTGCATCCGGGCACAGGGAGGCCCGGGATGTGCCCACTGCCACTCACCGTGTCCACACCTCCTGCCAACATCTCGGTGATGTTGGCCTGAATGTTCTGGAAGGGCAGCTTGTTGCTGCTTAGGAGGCTATAAAGGATGCCAGGGTATTTGTTCTGAAAGTCGCGTTTCTGTCTCAAGTCCCAGAAGAAGCTCTTGGTGTATGTGTCGGCTGTGGAGTGGGACAAAGGACGCAGGGGCATAAGGCCCTGTGGCGGCGGCGGCGGCAGAGAAGAAAGCCGTGGCCATCTCGGGGAGCAGGGGTGCCCTATGGGTCACTATTTTACCCAGCACTCAATCTCTACCAAACCCTTCATGTTGTATAATTCTTGATCACAACTTTGTGGGATATGTGATACAACCCTGTTTTCCAGAAAATGGAGCAAGGGCAGACAGACAGTGACTTGCCCAACGTCGTGTGGGTAGAAGGGACAAAGGGGATCCTGACTCCACCCCTTCTAGCCAACTTCTCCATCTGACCTCCCCCAGTCTCTACCAACGAAGGGTCCTGGCCCTCACCTTTATCGAAAATCACATCCCATGCAGCTGCGTGGTCCCTCCAGGTCTTTGTCCTGAAGAGCCGGAAGAGGCCTGGGGGCAGGTTGAGCATGGGCACACTGGTGTGGAACATCTGGTAGATGGCGTTGATGAACTGCTGGGCCTTGACGTCCACGACCTCCTCCAGCATCCCCATCCGCTCCCCAAATATGACATTGGTGATGGCTGCAGGGGCAGGGGCATAGACACTGAGCAGCCCCTCCTGACCCCAGAACCCCAGAGCCTCTGTACCCCTTGCCACCATACCCAGCACTCTCCACAAGCCCAGCTTCCTCTAGGAAAGAGACTGAGATGCAAAGAGCAAAGTCCTCTACAGCAAGCAGAAAGCTGCTCTTCGGCCACCACTCAGCACCCGTGTAGAGCACATGGGAGTCTGAGAGGAAGTGCTCCTTGGTAGGGAGAGGGAGGTGGGTCCAGGCCCACCCTGTCCAGCCTCACTGTAAGAAAGTCTAAATTCTTAGGTGTCTGGTTACACTTAAGATGCCACAACAACCTCAAGTTTTTTTCACCTACCAGGTGAGCAATTTGAATGTTAGTTTTATAGCAAGCCTAGAGCGCCCAAAATCTCCCGCAGGGACCACATGACCTCCACCCAGCCATATGCAGATGATGCTCCCTGCCCCAGCTGCCTGCCTTCTTCACCTTGCCTGGGTAACTCCTACACATCCTCCAACACCCTCCTCTCTCTCCCTAGATCTCAAAGTTCTGTATCTCAGAAGAGAGAAACATGCAGAATGAAGGGTTCAGCCAGCCTCTGACTCTTGAGGGATGATGGCAAAGGGGACCCCCGCTTTGAGAGTCACCACCCCAGGATGCATGCCAGGTGCAGGGGACACCACTACTCCATGGGGAGCCCATAGTGGCAAATGTGTCCAGCAGCTCACCCTAGAAGGCAGGCCTGCCACTTCCGCAGGGACCGTGCTAGGTCTCAAGCTAAGAGAATGAACTCTGAGTCCCTTAACCCCAGACCCCTGCCAGCTGGCACAAGACCCTTACACTCAAAGGCAAAGCGGAACAGGTCGTCACTGATGTCCCCTGAGAACTTCCCAGAGTTCTGCTGCTGGATGCGCCTATGTAGGAGCCGGACAAAATCCTGTGACACCGGCTCCAGCAAGGGCACAAAGTTCCTGATGGATTCCGGGGCCATCACCTCCTGGTTCAGGACCAGACGGTCTTTCTTCCAGGCTTCTGAATTCCTGAGAGAACACAGGCCCTTGGTCACAGATCCCAGCCCGGCCAATGCTGGGAGTTGCCAGAGCTTTCCAGGGCTGAGCCCAAGCCCGAGCCCCTGGTATGGTGCAGTGCCTGCCCCTGTGCTCTCATGGGCTGAGGAGACAGGGCTTCAACCCCCACCTCCCCCAGCCTCTCTCCTTCCCTGACGTTGGCCTCCAACCTGGAGACCATGGCACTCACTTGAACAGGACACCAAGGGGCCTCTGGTAGTACTGGTGGTAAGCCACCCAGGGCGGGATGAGATAGCGCTCGGGGTGCGGCCCCTCACACTGGAAGAGCAGAGCTGCGTCCTCAGGATCCATAATGTAAACTGACTCCACATTCCCGAGCTTCTCCCTGGGAGACAGATAGGGGCTGTGGACAGGGTCTGAGACGACCCCAACAGCTGCCCTGTGGGGCCACAGCGTTCTGGGTGTGGACCACACCCTCCAGCATTCCAAGAGGTTAGATGGAGGTGATGACACAGATGAGTCCTTTGCTAAGCCTCCTGTGAGTGACAGCCTCCTGATAGCGGCTGTCACCCCTGGCCTCCCACAGACGGTCGACTCTCCTGTTCCACACTGTCCTTCCTATGTCACTGCCTCTGGGCACCCCAGCCTCTCACCAGCCCATGAAGCTTGGGCCATACGTAGCACATGTGCATGCCCCCCCACAGAGGGCCCCCAGCAGTGACGCTCCAGGCCAAAATGTCACTGTGGGAGTGGTCACTATTCCCAGGAGTCCTGCAGGGTACTTCACCTCTGTTGAACTAAACCAGCAATAAAGCCTCAGACCCCCCGCACAGAGGTGAGGGCAAAGAGCAACTGGAAGAGTCCTGACTCCCACAGCGTCTGCCTGTGAAAGGAGGGCACGCTGGCATCTCACAGCCCAGGGGAGAGACCATGAAGACAGCCCAAGCCACCAGCCCCTGACTTCCAGCTCCAGAACTATAAGGTAATGTACTTCTATGTAAACAAAAGAGAAAGCGGGAAGGAAAGAGGGAAGAAGGGAGAGGAGGGCAAGAAAGGAAAAGAAAAGAAAAAGCCTCCTTCTTCTTCTTTTTTTTTTTTGGTGGAACCAGGGATTGAACTCAGGCTCTTGCGCTTGCCAGGGAAGCGCTTATTCTACTGAGCCATCTCCCCGGCCCCCCTACTTCATTTTTGCTACAAAGAAGTTTAATGGATATATATTAAGGCAAAATATTAAAAAATGAGCCCATCCAGGTCCAAGAGTGCCCTCTTTCTCCTCCTTCCTTCACTCTCCCCTCCCCACCTCAGAGTGCTGCTTTTACCAGAGAGTCACAAGCTTTAGCCTTGGCTTGCTTATGCCCTCCAGAAAATTCTGTATTCCTCCAGCCCCCAACCAAGGCCTCAAGGCCTTGGGTTACTACATCAGCTCCACTTCTGGGAACCTGGCCCGAGGCAAAAGGGTCTGACTTTAGCCACAGGCCTTCGATAAGAGAGCCAGCCCAGTAGGAGCCTAAGAGAAAATACCCAGCCAGGCTCAGTTCTGCTTAGGAATTCCCTTGAACACTTGGTTTATCCACACACTCAGCTGTTGTGGTACTCAAATAATACCCACATAACTGTAAATAATAGGAACCCAAGCCAGGTATGATGATGCATGCTTGTAATCCCAGCACTCTGGGAGGCTGAGGCAGGAAGATCCCAAGACTGAATCCAGCCTGGGTAATTTAGTGACTTAACAAAACTCTCTCTGCTAACAAAAATATAGGAATGGGCTGGGGTTGTAGCTCAGTGTGAAGGCCCTAGTTACAATCTCTAGTATTGAAAGAAAAATTTTAAAAACACAAAAGAAAAAAAGAACAGAAACAGCTTTGTGGTGTGGGGAGAGCCTTGCAAGTTGTATTCTGAATTCCTTTGTGTTTATTCAGGAGCTAATTATCTTCACCTATAAATTATAGCCTAATATGCCGGCACATAGATTCAGGCTCCAGCCCTGACTTAGCCCTGGTTTACACTGATTAACCTGGCTAGTAGTGGCTAACCCTAGCCTGACCCTGTCTAACTCTAATGTGGAGCCCACATTTCCTACTCTAAAAGGACGATAACCTCAGACTCAAGGACAGGGCAAAAACCCAGAGAAAAGTGGTTCTGAAAATAAAAACAATCCAATGAAGTGTACTACTTGGAATGGGAAATGGAAAGTGCAAAAGGGAAGAAAGCAGGGTACGTAGGGATGCTGGGGACAGAGGACCAGAGAGACATAAGGAGCCACCTCTCCTAACCCAGTTGTAGGGATTGGAGCTCCGTTGTCTCCAAACAACTGTAAAAGAAATAAAAAAATAGTCTGGACCTCAAAGGGCAACAAAGGACAGGACCCAGAACACACCACACACACACACACACACACACACACCCCAACATATAATTCCCTCTGGAGAAGGCAGAGGTCCCTGGGCCAGGAGCAGGGAGGACCCATCCTTGTCCACCAGCGTTGGAGAGAGGAGGGATGTGGAGCCCACAGCAGGCCATGCAGCCCCATCCCAGCTGCCTCCACCCTCCCCCAGGCTCACCTGTAAATGGGGCCATACTTCTGGAAATTCTGAACGTGGCGATAGTGGATGTGGTAAGTGCCTTTCTCTCTCCAGAAATGGTACAGGTTTAGCCAGCCATTGTCACCTGGAGAAGGGATCTCATGGAAGGGCCGAGGACTGTGGGTAGAGGTGCCAGCCATGCCTCTAGTGAACATCTTGGGATAATTTGCCAGGCCCTGCCCACTGGTGCCCAGGAAGACCTGGCAGCCTTTGGCCAGCACTGAATGCTGGGCAAGCCCCTTAGCCAGCATACTGTGCCCACTACCACAGCACAAGCTCTGCAGAACAGACCCTGCCAGGGTGCAACTGGCCTGATCCTTGGCCAAGCTTATAACCACCGGCTCAAGGCTGAGGGGGAAGTGAGCCTTGCCACTCCTCCTGAGCTCACGGCCCCTCCCAGACCTGGCCCGATGTCCAGCCTCGAATCTCTGCAAGCAGAGACACGGAGACACGTAGTCTCTGGCCCCAGGTCCAGCCCAAGCAGGTCCAGAGACGCTTTGCCGTCGACCTGTGCTGAGACCTCTCACTGTTCCTGGCAGAGGCATCTAGGCACTGGCAGACATCCTTCGAGATGGGACAGCCTGGATTTGGGGGTCAGCAGGGGCCCAAGAGAGAGTCACAGCCACTCTGCCAACTTTCTCTAACACCTTCTTTGCGGCCCAGCTATTTACATATGTGTGATTATAAACTTTTTGCATAGCTCCCTGACTTTAAAAGATTTTTCAGCTTGCCAAACAAAAAATATCCTATATTCTCTGAAAATCTGATGACTGGCAAGTATTGCTATTGTCATTATTGTTATTATTGTTTTTTTGAAACAGGGTCTCCCTGTGTAGTTCAGGCTGGCCTTGAAGTCACTGTGTAGCCCATACTGGTCCCCAACACAAGGCCATCCTCCTGTCTCAGCCTCCTGAGTGCTGTGATTAGAGGTATGCACCACCACAACAACCTGCAATTTTTAAAATCACAGTACTATTTGTTCATTGTGGAATAGTTAGGAAAAGGATAAACAAATCTAAGATCTTCTGAGCACTCCATGTTGAGTATAAGAAGACAGGCACAAAAGGGCACAGGCCACTGGGTTCTGTGTTTACTTCAAGGAGTGGCAAGATTAACACGGGGTTTGGAGTGATTGTCCCATGCAGTGCTAATCAAAAGAGGCACAAGAAAATTTCTGGAATTCTGGGAATGTCCTTTCTTCAGAGTGTATCAAAACCCACTGAACTACATCTTTCTGGGTTTTTTCTTTATTTTACTTCATAAAAAGAAAAACAAGCCAAAAAAAGGACATCTTTTTCTATCAGATTATTTTTCCGAGAGAACACACTGACTCCTTAAGGAGGAGATGGACCCAGAATAAGCTTTGGTGTGGCTGTGTCTCCTGGATTGTGGGAAGGAGGGTGTCCCTGGCTTAAGCACACGCTAGCTGCCACACCAGGCACAGGGCGATGCCACCCACCTCAGCGTGGCACAGAGAATTTGGAGGTCGGGACTGGGGGCCAGTGGCCCTGGGAGGCAGTATGGGTCACTTCACCTGGCATGGAAGGGGCAGCCATTCCCTCAGTGGGGCCCAGCTGGGGCAAGGGCTCTGCCAGCCTAAACAGTCCTCCTGAAGCCTGGGTAATTTATTGAGGACCTATCTTTTTTTTTTTAATTTTTTTTTTATTTATTTGAGAGAGAGAGAGAGAGAGAGAGAGAGAGAGAGAGAGAGAGAGAGAGTGTGTGTGTGGCCAGCTCAGCCCACCAGGGGGCGGGGCTGGCCGGCATGTGGTGCTGGGGGATTGAACCGCGGTCCCTGATGCTTTGCTAAGCTTGTTCTAAGTAGGTGCTTTAGACCACTGAGCCATCTCTCCAGCCCTGAGGACCTATCTTAAAATTAAATTTAAAAAGTAAGGCTGGAGTGCAGCTCGGCAGCGGTAGAGGGCTTGCTTAGCATATCAATACCAACCACTGGGGGGAAAAAAATTTAAGTAGCACTTGTATCAGTGTGGGTTCAACCAAAGAAACAGAAGAGTAGAAAATATGTAGTAAGAGACTGATTTCACCCTTACTACCAGATTCTCGAAAAAACTGTAGCAAGAGGTTTAAAAGTCTAAGGTCAAACTGAACAATTTAGCCAGACCCTGCCTAAAAGCAAACAATAAAAAATGCTAAAATGCATCTCAGTGCAAGGTCCTGTGTTCAAGCCCAGTACAAGGAAAGGCTTGCACAACTGTGGGCTGACTAAGCAAGTTCCTAGGCAGCGTCAGGAAGACACTTTGGACCTCACAGAGACAGCTGAGGCTGCACTCCCTCATTCAGTCAGATGATAATAGATTTTAGTTCCTCGAATGCCTTCAGGGCACTTTTGGCCAGCGGGAGAGTTGTGAGATTTGAACTCCAGCAACCCGAGGCTGACAGCTTTGTGGAAGCAGTCACTTAAAGGACTGAGCTAGGGCCAGGCCCCCGATAATAGATTTTAATCATGTCCATCTAAGCCAAACATGCTGATACGCACCTGTGATCCCAGCACTTGGGAGGCTGAGGCAGGAGGATCCCTGCAAGTTAAAGGTGGGCTGGACTACGTAGCATGATCCTGTGTAAAAAAAAAAAAAAAAATCGGGGCCAGGGAGATGGCTCAGTAGAATAAACACTTGCCTGGCAAGTGCAAGGGCCTGAGCTCAATCACCGGTTCAAAAAAAAATCATGTCTGTGTCATCAATCACATCAGGTTCCTATTTGAATCTGCTTCTTCTTGGGATCCCCTTCTCTGTCGATAGGACGGGGAGAAGATGAGGCTCCAAAGGAGAGAAGAAGGAGCAATGCAAGAGCGAGCAGAAGAGGGCCAGGAGAGGGCTGCCGAGGGACCCAGTCCTGGAAGAGGACAGGCACAGCCTCTAGGGCATGAGCAGCGCCGAGACTGCGCGATTGTGTCCTTGTGCCCCTTGCACTCAGCACACTGAGGAGCTTTGAGCAGGGCTGGCTCAGTGCAGGGCGAGGAGTGTGGGTGACTGACACAGCGTGCGGGCTTTCTGCCACTTGTTTCCATGCCTCAGGAAGAGCCCTGCGTGGCTCAGAATAGAACTCACCACAGCCAGCCTTTCCCAGAGGATGGCCCGGAGCTCAATGACTTCTCGGCAGGTGACAGTCACCTCTGTCAAACAGCTACTCAGCAGTGTTCCAGGGATCACAAGGCCTTGACCCGGGGCTGCACATGCCTCACACAGCCATGAGTCCTTGGAATTTGGCCAAAGAGTGCAGAGACCTGGATGGCACCCGGATTGGGAAGACAAGCTAGCTCACATTGGCTTTGGGGGGAGGTAGGTGCAAATTAAGGAAATCTATGCAGGCAGAAGGCAGCAGGGAAAAGGAGGGGCCGGAGAGGAGTCCAGATAGGGGGAGGTGGGCGAGGCCAGACTGGCACTGGGGGAGACAGGTAGAGGGCGAGGCTGTGTGGAAACAGGTGACAGGCTTCAGGGAAAGCTCTCTGGGTGACACTACCTAAGGGAGAGGAGAGAAAAAGTTCACAATGGGCGGGTCCCTGGGGACAGTGTTTCCACCTGGAGTCCTGTCCCAACCTCACTGGGCTGCACTGGAAGCATGACAGGGTCACAGTGAGCAGGACACAGCCTGTCTCCCTCTTGTCCCCAGGTCCCCTGTCTTGCCGTTTTACCTGGGCTTCCTCCCAAGCTCCACCAACACCACATCGCTGTGGAACAATGGGACCCAGCACCCCGGGCAGAAGCAGAGGCCTGGATGTGGGAATGTAGGGAAGACCCTGTGTGTGCTCAGTCTTGATTCGCAACTTGATGAGACCAAGAGGCTCCTGTAGAGGTGGCTGGACTGTGAGAGAGTGCGGCCCTCTTCCATGAGTTAATCCATCGCTAGGTGAGGCCTCCTTGCAGGAAGTGGAGGTGTAAACTTAGGGACCTGGCCCTTGCTTGCTGGTCCTTCCCTGACGTCCTCTCCTCCGATACCATGATGTGAGGAGCTTCCTCTACCTCACCATGTCTGCCTCAGAGCCAGCTGACTAGAAAGCCCTGAAACCCTGAGCCAAAATAACCCTGTCTTCCATTAGGTTGTGGACGTTGGGTATTTTGTCCCAGCTACAGAAAAGTGAGGCTCAGACAGGCTGGTTACAAAGGTGTGACTCAAACATATGGTGAATGTTTAAATTTTTTAAAATGTGTTGTACTACAAGACCCCTTCCCAGGAAAGCCTCTAAGTCCTCCTCCCTGCTCTGAATATACTTATCCTTGGTGATGTGTTTTTACTGTAATAAGTTTTTTAAAATTTAAATAGTCATATGTTTTCAATCACCCCTCATATATGGCCAAAGTCACAGTGCTACCTGGCAATAGAACTGGGATTCAAGCCGGAATGGTGCTTGGCTGCTGAGTAGTGGCCCCAGGAACACTGAGTGGGGACAGTCCCCAGTGTGACTAGAGCCTCCTGGCTGGGTGAACTGCAGCCCCCAATGGAACATTCAGAGATTCCTCGCCCCCAGCACACAAGTGTCCACAGAACAGGCTCTGGGCAGATGGCCTCAGACAAGGCCAGAGGAAGAAGAATGGTGGCAGGAGGCCCTCGCCTCCCAGTCTCATAAGGAACTGAAAAAATGAAGGAATGTAACCTCAGAATCCAATTCCTCGTCCTCCCTCGCTAGGGGTCCTGACCTGAGCCATGATTCATCGAGTCTGCCTCAGAAGGCAGCAGGGTCCACCGCACCAAAGAACCATGCGACTGACTCACTCCAAGACCTCAGCAGATCTGGCCACCACCAAACCCTCTGTGTTACCTCTTCCTTGACCTCGACCCCTCCCAGCAGTCCAGATCCCCAAATCCATCATCCCAGCCCCGGCAGCCCCTCACACTCCCCTGCACTGCCTAGAGAGACAGCCCCAGCTAGAGAATTGTGCAATCACCTCACAATGCGTAAGCCCAGTGACAAGAGTGTGTGCAACAGGAAACACACACATTGCACACGGATCACTGCCTGGCAGCTGTCTACACAAAGCCTCAGGCTTTATTAATGTTTTTTGTATTTTAAAGAAAATTTAAAAATTTAAAAAACATTAAAAACCAATACAGAATTGCAAAACAAAACAGGAACTCAACAATCATTATAATATCACATATTGTTATCTTCAAAGTAGTTATTCATATTACCTGATATAGACAAGCAAAATTGATCAAAAAAATTAAGCATCAAATATTCCTTGCAATTAACAAATAGAAATTATTAGTACAATTATCTTAGCTATCTTGTGTA